GTACTGTGTGTAAAATGCCATCAAAAAGTCAATTAAGTTTTATTCTTTCTCACCTGTCTTTCTATCTCCTTTCACTTTTTAAAGGTTGCCATGTTAGAAAAAATATTTTGCCCTGCCATGCTGTTTATTGATGTGGCAAATGAATGGTTTATGAAAATATATCTAAATCTGTCATCAGTAATCAGTAATGTTCATGTCTCACCTCTAGTCTTCTCTGTCTTAATTTCAGGTTTTCACCATGTGTTGTAGATAGTTCAGGAGGTTAACTCGACCAAGCAGTCTACTTTCGGGTACTGTTTAGAATACCAGAATAGGGAGGATGGTGTAGGTTTAAGTTTATTAGACTGGTGCATATATACCAACACGACAGTGTACATCACTGTGACAACAGTGTTTGTTTTCATTCAAAGGCTTTATGGTTTTTCCTATAATACCTGGTGGGCTGGCCTCTAGTCAAAATGCCCGGGCCGATTTTTTGTCCCAGTCCAGCCCTTCACACCTCCTCTGACTTTTTCCGTGAAGTTTGATCTTCTTCGCACCCGTGCGTCATGATCCGAGTGAGCATCTGGTGTTAATAAAGCCTGTTAAACTTTATCACTGTTTCCCTTTGATGTCTGCACTTGGGTCCACTTCCACCTAGACCTCTGGGCTCCTGTGACAAACCGTGTTCACCTCTTAACTTTTCCCATAAATATTCATAATAGCTTGAACCTTGTTCAGGAGGAAATGAACATTATTGATATTTGATCTTAATCGCTTCTCCCAAAACAATAAGCATCAATTTAAGAGTGTGAGATGAGGCGGAGAGGCTAAAACAAACTGGTCTGTGCATCGTCACATGCTACAGTTTTCCAGCTTCTTCTCAAGAAGCGTAAGTACGAAACAATGTTACTGGTTCTTCAGCTATTCAATTAAAAGGATGATTCATTAATAAATATATACAATATAAACTAGCACACATAATAATAGTAGTAACGATAAAGAAACTCTTCACAGCATTAATGACACAGCGGTCAGGGAAATCAGTCCAGTTTCAAAGCCTGTTCAAAATGCAAAGACAAATCTTCCACTTTAACCTTTCTGATGGGGGAGAGAAGGGTGTACACTGGGCGATAGCACATGTGTAACCTTAAGTCTCTAGAGAGGGTGTGAACCACATTTTCGCTATTTTATTATTAAATGAAAAATAAAAATGAAAAAAACTGCAAAACATTGGTGAATGTAAAACGTTTTAATAAAGAAGCTCAAAGACTGATTAAAAAAAATCTGTCTCACATACAGAACGTAAAGCGTAGAGTCAGTTTTATCACTTAGAAACAAAACAAGATTGTTTAAGGTGCCTATGTATAGCATGTTGATGTGCTTTACACCTTTTTTTTTTTTTTTGAAATGTCAAAAACAACAGAAACACAAGTTTTTGTTACAAATGAAAACTCTCTTCTCTAACACATTGAAACAGGAGCAATTAAATGATGCTCCTAATCTAAACACTTAGAAATCAGAGATCCAGGACTGTCTTGAGCTCTTTGTTCTGTGGTGCATTGTCCTGGAAATACAGGTCAGCATACTGCAGGATGTGATCAACAGC